TCTATTCTATATTATTCTATTCTATTCCACATTCCATTCTATATTATTCTATTCTATTCTATTCTACTCTATGCTAAGCTACGCTACTCTACATTATGCTACACTATGCTACTTTATTCCTAATTCCATTCTTTCCTGATTCCATTCTATTCCCTATTCCTATTCCTATCCTTTTTTATTTTATTCTCTAGATGACATGATGTTGGAGAAGATAAGGATTGGGAGAGGAGGTCTCAATTAACCATTGTCTTTTTTTCCTTCTTCTTTTGGGTCAACAGAACATGAAGCCATGATGGGATGGGGTGAAGCCTGGAGAGAAAAATCAGAAGAGGAGACACAGCCATCGCTGAAGTTCTCAAGAAGATGCCAGCTACCCACCGTAGAGACATTGGTGCTCCAGCCTCTCAAAGATCTGGGCGCTTTGGTTGAGCTTCTGCCGAAAGCTCTTGGCTACGTAGTAATCCACCTCGCTGTCCCACAGGAGATCTTCAAAAGCGTGGATCAAGTTGGACAGGTGTTGCCGGTAAGTGGCACAAATGTTGTGGCTCTCGTGGATTTTCTGGCGCTGGCGGGACTCCTCAGGAAGCGACAGGCAGACAGAGAAATCTGGCCTGCCAACAGAAGCGGCAAGCATCCTAAAAAAAAAAAAAACCCTTTCTAAATGAGGGTTCACCCATCTTTCTAAATTATCATTTATTTCTTTTGTTTAGAAAATGTATATGGCTGCCTGCTCCCTTTTAGCAACTCTGAGCAGCTCACAAAAAACAATCAAAACCCAAGATGGGTAGTCCTTGATTTATAACACTTCATTTATTGATTGTTTGGGGGGGAGAAAGGAGTTGACATGTCAGCGTTTCCTGGTTGCAGCCGACTCTGACACATCATTCATTTCCCCCTTGACCCTGGTCTTCCCCCCACCCCCTGGATGTATATTCTCCAATGAGACACATCCATAGCCAAGAGTCATCAATCATGCTCTCCAGTAATAACCTTGCGAGCCAACAGCTTCGGCTGCCAAGGCGATTATCTGAGACATTTAAGGAATGCACTGCTTTCCCCAACTCCCTTTCTGCTGGCAACTAAAAAGACCAAAGGAGTATTTTTTCGTTGACAGTGACCTTTTCAAGCACGCCATCCCCCTTCTACAATCTTCCGAGAAGCAATATTTAATAGGGAAGCCAAATTCACTTAACAACAATTGGACTCATTTAACAACTGGTTTGTATTTATGACCGGCGGCAGTGTCCCAGGGTCCCTTTTTTCGACCTTCTGACCAGCAAACGTCAGCAGGGAATCTGGATTCATTTAACGACCGGGCAGCTCACTTAACCACTGCAGTGATCGGCTTCACAAGGTCGTAAAAGGGGGTGAAATCCATTTAAGGACCGTCTTTCTTAAGAGCAGAAATAGGGGGCCAAATTGAGGTTGTAAGTGTCAGGATTGTGACACTTAACCCCATTTAAATCATGAGTCTCTAGCCAAACTCCAAAAGGATTTATTGGGAGTTAAAAGATACGGCATTGCCTGGGTGTAGCCGACTCTGAGACACATCATTCATTGTCACCCTTGACCCTGGTTTTCCCCTCACCCCCGGGTGTATCATAATTCATATTCTCCAATGGGACACATCCATAGCCAAGAGTCATCAATCATGTTCTCCAGTTAGAATTTTGCATGGCAGAAAATTTCAAACTATCTTTGAAAACATTTATGGAATGCAAGCTGCCCCACTGCTTCCCCCTCCCTTTCTGTTGGCAACTCTACAAATACCATAGAAATATTTTATGAGTTGACAATAAGTTTGAGGACTTTCTGTATTATAACCATGGTTGTTGTTGTTTTGCAGGCACACCCAACCACACACCCTTTTCTCCCAAGGATGAGCGTCTGCTACTCACTCGTCCCGGGGAGTCAGGCTTTTGAGTTTGTCGTGGAGACGATGGACTTCATCTACCAGTTTCATGTTCGCCATCTGCTCTTTCTCAAGCTCGGCTTCGTTTTCTGACAACAGCTCTCGGAGCTTCTGGACGGTCTGGTCGTTCGAGGGACCGGATCCTGAAGAATCCTCCACGCCTTCCTTTGGCTCCATTTCGTTGGAGAAGCTGGCGAATTCCGGCTCGCTTTCCTTGAACTCCGCGGGAGAGGGCATCCTCTCGCCGTCGCTCCGGACGGGATCCAGAGCGTCTCCGGGAGGACACGGTTCAACCAGATCGAACTGGATCAGCAGCAGCTGGTATTTTTCCACCACGGATTTCAGATCCCTGATTCTCTGTCTCAGGTCTTCGACGTCATTCACGGCCTCGCAGTCGAAGGTGTCGAAGCTGAGCCCGCTCTGCTTAAGGGAAGGGCTCCTTTTGCCCCTCGAGGACAGCGACGCGGCGTCCCCGTACTGCTTCTCGGGGACACCGAGCAGAGGGTGAAGCTCTGGCAAAGCAGACCGTTTGGATTCAGGGGTCTCCTTTTCTATTTCTGGAATGCAAAAAGGGCGAATGGTTTAAACCAAAGATGGACTCGGTTTGGGACTAAAGGGGACATTTCTTGACAATGAGAACAATCGACTCAAAGAACAGCTCCCCCATCAGAAGTTATGGGTGGAGGCTTTTAAAAATAGACTGGAGAGTCATTTGTCTGAAATGCTATCAGGTCTCCTGCTTGAGGAGTGGGTTGCACTAGAAGACCTCCAAGGTCCCTCCCATTATTCGGTTGTTCTCTTATTCTGTCTATTTCTTTGAGGTTGTTAAAGTGTCCAATGTATGTTGCTAAAACTGGCGGTTCCTGCCTTCCAGCAAGGACTGACTTGCATCTCCTCTAAACTGGGGGGAAAAAAACCCTGTTCTTCCCATGGATTGAGTCCAGCAACTAAACCGAAATGATGGTTTGTTCAAGAGGGAAAACGAACCATTTTATATTGGTGGCGTTGCTTGGTGGTTTCTGAGCTCGGTTGGAGGTTTTTTTTTTGTTCCTTGTTTTTGCAAATGTTTCATTATCACGTTAGGGAACATCATCAGCGTTAGAAGGGTTACCTAGACAAGCGCTGATGATGTTACCTAGTTAGGTTATGAAATGTCTGCAAGAAAATCACCAAGCCCAGAGAGCACTAAGGATTCCACAGTCCTCACCCTCTTCCTCCTGTCCCCTGCAAACCCCACTCCCTTCTAGCACTGATGATATTACCTAGTTGAGTTATGAAACATTTGTAAGAAAATAACCCAGCTCACAGAGCACCAAGGACTCCACAGTTCTCCTCCTCCTCCTCCTCTCCTCCTCTCCCCAAGTTACACTCCCTTATAGCACAGATAAAGCAACCTAGTTGGGTAATGAAATGTCTGCAAGAAACTACTAAGCTCAGAGAGCACCAAGGACTCCACAGTCCTCCTCCTTCCCTCTTCCTCCTTCTCCTCTTCCTCCTTCTCCTCTTCCTCCTCCCCCTCCTCTTCCTCCCCACAAACCCCACTCCCTTCCAGACTGATGACTTTATCTAATTGGGTTATGAAATGTCTGCGAGAAAACAGTCCAGCTCAGCGAGCAGCAACGACCTCACAATTCCACCCTGAGCTACAGATATTCTCTTCTATTGGTACCATTCTACATTTCTTTATGGCTTGGATGTGTATCCCAGCTTGCTTCCAGGAGCTTTAAATAGCACCTATCACATTCCTGCCACCAATTTCTTTTCGCCAGTCGCCAACCCTGAGTTGTGAGCTCAGCTAAGGGAGAATGATTGGCATGAACCCATTTGATGAGCTTCTATGCAGTGGGCTGGCTGGGGCTGTAGCCTTCAACCTGCACCTCCCAAATTCTCGCCTGCCACCTGTAGGCCCCACTACCTGTAGCTCTTCAAATAATTAAAACAAACCTCCACATGCATGTATTTTTTTTTAAAAAAAAAACAGCTAATATTGTTGGCGTTTGTATGCAGCCACTTTCTCTTTTCCTGTTTGTTCTTTCATTTTGCAATGAAAGAAATTATTGATGGCGGAACTCTGGAGGTCTCTTTGATGTCGAGAAAGAGGGAATGGAAAATTTGATGCCAGGTTCTCTCCATGATCATTAATCCCATGTACAAACTGCTTTAAGCTGTTCAGTTACGTCCCGAGAAATTCAAACAGGGGAACGGGGGAAAATGGTATCTGTAGCTCACAAAATGTGCTTGTTAGAAGGCGCTTGATGGCCATTTAAAAATAAAATTACAGAGAGGATCAGAGAAATTTCATCGCTTCCGACTCAGAGGGCAGCCATACCTTCCAATTATACGTTAACTGGTTGTGTGAATCCCGCTGACGAGTCAAAAATAAAAACTTAATTCTCAGAAGATGCTTTTCCAAAACTACAAACAGGGGCTGGGAAGGAACAATGAACTGCAGCAAAATCAAACTAGGAGACAGAATATTTTAACAGAAAATAACAGAATATTTTAACCTGGTTTGGTTTTTTTTTTGGCAAGTTGGGTTGGCAATTGCACACACCGCAAATTGCACGTGTGCAAAAAGGAGCTGCAGAAATTCAAACTAGGGAACTGTACCTAATTGGATTGCTTTGCTGATGTTCTGATCCTGGTCTTTCTGGCCAGCGTTTTGGATACTGGGCAGGTTAAGATCTGCTTCAAAGACCTTTGGCTGGATTGCCGATGCTTCTGCAGAAATAGGTAGGCGATATATTGAGTTTAAGAGACCAGGAAACGACAATGTTAAATAAAGTAAATAAAATTCAAAAAGGGAGAAACAACCATTTTTTAAAAAAAAATCCATATTCTTCTATTTTAAGGGGAAAATGGACATTTCACTAAAGTTTAACTTAAAAGTATAAAAGTTAGGCTCCTTGCATCCTTGGAAAGAAATGGAAATGATATTCTTTGTGTATATATTTCTGTTTTCCACCCTTTGTGTGGATTTTCATGCATGTATTGCTATTCTCTTTCTACGTTTTCACCTGATTGTTAAATGTATCATATTTTTTTTATCTGTAAGCTAGGTAAAATATACTACGATTATTGGAAAAATAATCGCGAATCAACTGAGCTAAAAAAACAAGGGAATATAGGACAGGAAAGGGCAGGCCCAGCCAAAAGGTGGTATTTTCCAGTTCTCCAAACTAGTTAAAATTCCCGCAACCGGTAGAGCAGAACTGGTCTGAACCAGCTGAACATCACCTCTGCCAGAGGCCAGCAGCTCACGGCCCAGTAGTGGGTTAGTGTCCTAGTGGACAACCTCTTAGAAGTCCAAAAGGAAGGAAGAGGAGAAAGTTGGGTTGGTTTCCTTGAAAGACCTCTCCCTATACCTGCTTGTTTGTCTTCTTCTCGTACGTCCTTCCGGATGGACCCATGGCCCTCGGCCTCGCTTTGGTGGGCCTCTTCTCTCAACTGCCTTCCCTTCGGGCCTTGGTCCAGGGCGAAGACACAATGTTGGAGATCTGGTCTGGGCAGTGAGGTCATTAAGGAGATGCTTCCCAGGGATCTTGAGGCCTTCAGCAAAACAGGCAAGCGCGACTTCTTGGACTGGTAACAAGAGTTGCTCTGAATGAAACACAAGATCAAGAAAGGATGTGTAAGGCCCAGACTCTCTCCCCTTCAAACGATAAGAATGAACTTTTGAAAACTGGGTATTTCAAAAGGAATTCTTTACTGAAAAGGAAGATAGCCAGGCGACGTTCAAAGCAGGATCTGATATCCTTCCAGGCATGCAGCTTAGATAAAGGGAGTTAGAACCCCTCCCCTTAGTCCGGTGTGGATTTCATCAATACAAAGAAACAATATGCTAATTCCCCCCACCCCTCTTTTTTTTCTGGGAACGTAGTTGAGAAAAAATTCCCAGGAAGTTTCTTTTGGAACTGGGATTTTTATGGTCCCTTCTCCTCTTGCTATCTCTCTGAGAGGTGACAAGTTTCCAGGCATCTGGGCTCCAGTCCCCAGTTGTATATCATATGCAAATTATACAGATTCAATACAAGAATTAAGATATTCAGGTTACATAAAAAAGGATTACTTGTATCAACCCCGCCCCCATCTTCTTCCACTGAAGAATGGCAGATACATGGATCTGACAGGATGCATATTTAGTTATTCGTATATCAACTGCTGCCAGAATTGTATTCAACACAAAACTGAATGAATGAATGAACGAACGAATGGATGAACGAATGAATGAATTCTTTATTGGCCAAGTGTGATTAGACACACATATGTCTTGGGGCATATGCCCTCAGTGTACATAAAAAGAAAAGATACTTTTGTCAAGGATCATAAGGTACCACACTTAATTGGAAGAGTGAAGAGATACCTACAGATGAGAATGTGATTAGGAAAATATTAGAATGTGTGGAAATGAATAGATTAACACTGGCAATTAAGGAGAAGGAGCAAACTGAATATTGTATGGTCTGGGATTTATTTTATCAATGGTTAAATAAATAAAAAATGGAAGTTAGAAACAGGGAAACAAAATAAAGAAGATATGTTAAAAGAGATCAGTAAATATTATGACTAGTATGTTGAATATCACTATGTTAACACTGTAGAATTAATATGTGGAACATTACGATGTGAAATGTTGCAGAATCAATATTAATGCAATGAAGGCTGTTGTAATTTTGATCATTGTTTAACGAAGATATTTGTACCCAGACAACACACTGTTCAACCGAAGATGGAATAATCGTATTAAAACTTAAAAAAAATTATAATAGCATCAACAGAAACGAGAAGGAGAATCAAATACAGTCTGAAAGAATCCAGGACAAGCTGAGAGGGAGAAAAACGGGGTACATTTTGTGTCTGGGGGTATGGGTGAAGGAAGACACACCCCAACTGGAGGAGGAGGAGAAGAAAGAAATTATCAGCCTTGCAGGGCTGCAAAATGGGAGAAAAATGTTTTCTTACATAGCTTTCTCCCCTTTTCTTTTTCCTACGAGCCCTTTGCAAATTCAGAAAGATTTTTAAGAAATGATTAAGGAAGCACGTCGACACCCCCATGCATCATTAACTTAAGAAATTACCCCTGAATGTTGCGATAACTATGAAAATTACTGCTTATTTCTGTGCATTAAGGATGTTCAGGAACAATGCTCTACCAATGACTGATTAGCTGTAATAGAGAATAATGGCTAAAAGACTGTAATAGCTAGAAGCAACGTTACTCCAGCGGCTTCACACTCTTGAGTGGAGGTCTCTGGGAAGAGCCATCTCTTTGCCTCAGTTACTCACTGAGCAAGGGAGGAGGAGGAGGGACAGGGAAAGAGAAGGAAAAATAGAAATGGCCCAGAAGTCTTCTAGGGTAAGATCTGAAGTCTGCAGATCTTTCAGGAGGTCCATCAAAGGTGGCTGAGCAAAGCAGAGCTCATAGAACGGCCGCTACCGTCCCACCTGCTTCAGTCCAGGTGTCTTGTTTATCATCTTGCCCGAACGTATTTAGTTGAGTTGGGCCAGAATGCAGAATGTGTTGGGTATCATCTCAACAGAAGAAGAAAGACACAAGAAGTCCAGACTCATGAAGAGCAAACGAGGCCAACTAGAGTTATGGGCCCTGTATTTAATTGGGCATTTCTGACACCAACTCAACCAGACCAACAAAGATCTCCTCTTTTTCCTCTTCCATGTACTCTATGGTTGCTGTGTACTCACTAGCATTGATGATGTTGTTTAGTTGGGTTGTGAAACGTCTGCAAGAAAACCACCAAGCTCAGAGAGGCCCCCCCAGTCCTCCTCCTCCTCTCTGCAAACCCTACTACCACTGATGATACTACCTAGTTCGGTAAATGAAATGTCTGCAAGAAAACCACCAAGCTCAGAGAGCATCAAAGACCCCACAATCCTTCCCTCCCTCCTCCTCCACAAACTCAGCTCCTTTTTAGCACTGGTAAGGTTACCCATCATGATGTCACCTAGTTGGGTAATGAAAAGTTTTCCTGCAGAAGTTTCATTACCAAACTAGATGACATCATCAGAGCTAGCAGGGCGTGGGGTTTGCTCTCTCTACTAGCGTTTTCCACTCCCTTCCAACACTGATGGTGTTCCCGTGTTTGGTAATGAGACGTCTGCAGGAAAACCACCAAGCTCAGAGACCATCAAGGATGACACCTCCTCCTCCTCCTCCTTTCTGCAAACCCTGCTCTCTTCAAGCACTGACGGTCTTCCCTCGTTTGGTAATGAGACGCCTGCAAGAAAACCACCAAGCTCAGAGAGCACCAAGGACCCCCTTCATTTCAACCCTGAGCTACAAAGGATTCTCCTTCGATCGATACTCACTTTGTTTGCTTTGCCGACTTGAGGGAGGGCCTTCTGCGGATCGCTCTTGGCCGAGACGTACCTCTGCCAGCAATCCTGGTCAAACCAAGAAGATTGGGTGGCGGCGCCATACTCGGAGACCGCCGTCCTTTTGCCTTCGTGCTTCGGCCTCACAGCGACTCCCGACCGGGTCGTCGTTTGGGTAGCTGTGTCCTTCACTTCCACTTTTGACAATTCAGTCTCCAGGTTCAACTCGCCCGCGGTTTCGGCGTCCTCATGGCCGGGCGTGGGTTGCGGTTCACCTTGTTGCTTCAGTGAGACGTTGGCTTGCATAAGCTGCTCGAGTTCCGCTCTCAGCTGAATGATCAGCTGCTTAAGATCTTTCTCCTCTTTGTTCTCCAGATCGTTGCTTAAATTGTCTCGCCCGGCAATCTTCGGAGGATCTAATGGCTCATTTGCAGTTTTGCTCTCTCCTTGTCCGCTTTTTATTGCAGAGAGCAGTGAGGGGAGGAAGAACGGAGACAGAAAAATAACAAAATTTATCAAAAAAAAAACAACAACCACAAAACCACCAAACATTTGTAAGAAAACAAATTCACCGGCTGCAAAACAGTTTCTAGGCTCATCATAAAGCCTGGATGAATTCCTCTTTTCATATTAACCACCTCAAAGAGCGTCAGATGAGAGGGTGGAAGATTAGCGAAAACAGCAGGAATTGCTTTAACAAAAAAAAAAAAAGTAATAACAGAGATTCAGAAACAAACTTAATCCAACAGTTATCGAGAAATGATTACGTATAATTTGGCAAGAATTTAAAAATAAATAGCAGGCTGCTGAAAAAAAATCGTTTGATGGAAGCTGCTGTTTTTCTCTGAGAAAATGGGAATCGTTTTCTCACTTATCACAGTTGGGCAGGTTCTGGGAAGGGATAAAGGGCAGAGAGGAATCAAAATCGCTCTGGAGGCGGTATCTAAACACCAAAGTAACTTTTGCTGTTGTTTTTTTTTCCAGAATAAACCTTTCCGTAAAGTTACCACAATTCGTTTAGTGATTGTTCAAAGTTACAATGGGACTGAAAAATGTGACTTATAACCATTCTTCACAGTTAGGACTTTTACAGCATCCACAAGATCATGTGATTGAAAATCAGATGCTTGGCCACTGACTCATACTTATGACAATTGCACTGCAGGGTGGATTAGATTTAAATCAAGTTGATTTAAATCACAATTTAAATCTCTAGTAAAAAAGCTTGATTTTAGTAAATCAACTCAATTTAGATCATAATTTTTAAAGAGCAACTGTCATCTCTGAATGAATGAATGAATGAATGAATGAATGAATGAAAGAATGAATGAATGAATGAATGAATGAATGAATTCTTTATTGGCCAAGTGTGATTGGACACACAAGGAATTTGTCTTGGTGCAAATGCTCTCAGTATACATAAAAGAAAAGATACATTCGTCAAGCGTCAAGAATCATAAGGTACAACACTTAATAATAGTCATACGGTACAATAAGCAATCAAATCATACTAGGAAACAGTCAATAATAAATCTTGGGATACAAGCAACAGAGTTACAGTCATACAGTCATGAGTTGGAGGAGATGGGTGATAAGGAGTGATGAGAAGATTGATAGTAATAGAAGTGAAGCCTTAATAAGTAGTTGGACAGTGTTGAGGGAATTATTTGTTTAGCAAAGGGATGGCGTTTGGGAAAAAACTCCCCTTGTGTCTAGTTGTTCTGGTGTGCAGTGCCCTATAGCGTCATTTTGAGGGTAGGAGTTTAAACAGTTTATGTCCAGGATGTGAGGGGTCTGTAGATATTTTCACAGCCCTCTTTTTGACTCATGCAGTTTATACAGGTCCTCCATGGAAGGCAGGTTGGTAGCAATTGTTCTTTCTGCAGTCCTAATTATCCTCTGAAGTCTGTGTCTGTCTTGTTGGGTTGCAGAACCAAACTCTGCTGTGAAAATGTATGAATGCATCAATGCAGTGCATGTGATCTCAGCTTCCAGAGCTTGGATTCATTGAACGAGTTTACCAAAAATCTAAACAGAATATACAGCCTAGTGCTATATAACCAAGCTCCACTTCATGCTGAATAAACTAAATTATTAATGCATCTTAAATAGAAAACTATCTTTAGATCAATGTTTGTTCCAAAAGCATTTTTGGAACGATCCAGAGCTTATTTGTAGATGATGGTTGAAGAGAAGGTTTTGAAGAGCAATCTAGAAAGAGTGCAGAGAAGAGCAACAAAGATGATTAAGGGATTGGAGGCTAAAACATATGAAGAACGGTTGCAGGAACTGGGGATGTCTAGTCTAATTAAGAGAAGGACCAGGGGAGACAGGAGAGCAGTCTTCCAATATTTGAGGGGCTGCCACAAAGAAGAGGGAGTCAAGCTATTCTCCAAAGCACCTGAAGGCAGGACAAGAAGCAATGGGTGGAAACTAATCAAGGAGAGAAGCAACTTAGAACTAAGGAGAAATTTCCTGACAGTTAGAACAATTCACCAGTGGAACTACTTGCCTCCAGAAGTTGTAAATGCTCCAACACTGGAGGTTTTAAAGAAGAGATTGGGTAACCATCTGTCTGAAGTGGTGCAGGGTTTCCTGCCTAGGCAGGGGGTTGGACTAGAAGACCTCCAAGGTCCCTTCCAACTCTGTTATTCTATTCTAAGACAAATGACCCAAGTTGATCATGGTCTCTCCTCCAGCTCCTCCCTGTCCCACCCCTGAAGAGTCTTCGTACAGACTTACAAGCCCAATTCCGAAAAAAATATAATGAAGGGAATACATACTTAACTTTACATGTCTTAACTGCAGCTAGAATTGTATATGCACAACAATGGAAAAGTGAAGAGATTCCCCACAGAGAAAATTGTAATTAAAAAAATATTAGAATGGGCAGAAATGGATAGATTAATGCTTAAAATTAAGGAAAAAGATGAAACTGAATACTTTTTAAAATGGGACTTATTTTATCAACGGCTAGCCAATAAAAACAGAAGTTAGAAATATGGAAACAGAAGAGAAGAACTAATTGTATAAAGGTCTTTTAAAATGGATAGGCAAATATTATGATTATTATGATATTAACACCAAGGCAATAAATATTACTGTGAATATTATGATTATTATTTCTCAAAATTATTTGTACTCAGACAACACACTGTTAAACTAGAAATTGATTTTTTTCATTTTATATATAACTAGCTTCACTACGAAACTATGTGGTCGGGCTTAATTTTTGGGGAGGAAAATAAGTGGGGGGGGGAAATCTGCCTCTTTCTGCCAGCATCCATCGGTATTCATCTGGCTACCGTCCTGTCTGTGTCTGAGAGTTGAGGGCTGTTTGGAAACTGAAAGAGTATTTGCTGTGTGAGCAAGGAGACAGCAAGGAGCCTGAGCATGGCTTAGCTCAACTGTTCTGTACTAAAGCTGCTTGGTGCTATGAAATTAAAACTGAAACTCCTCTCCTCTGCTTGTGTTTTGCATTTGGAAGAGATTTCGTTTCAGGTGGGGAGGGGGAGTAGAACTCCTTAGCATCAGAGCGTGTTAATAATAGTAATATAAGAAATACTAATGCTCTGATGGTCATTTTGAAAAACCCTTTCTTAGCGAGCCCCTAGAAGCCAAGAGGAACATGCGGGCCAAATTTCAAGCTTTTAGGCTTTACGGTTCTGGAGATTTCGTGATGATGCATGAGTGGTCTTTCACTTTTATATACATAGAGAGATTTAAAAAAAATTAAACTAAAAAAAAAAAACCCAATTGCAGTAACAACATAGCGATCCACTTAACAACTCTGGTGAGAAAGGTCGTAAAATGAGGCAAGGCTCACTTAATGACGGCATCACTTAGCGAGAGAAACTTTGGCCTCAACTGGGATTTGCCCTGGGAAACTTTAGCAGTCTGCAATCTCTCCAGATGAAAAGAGAGCTCGCAATTAATTCTTCCCCATTTGGAGTCGACAAACTTGTATAGGCCTGGAGCCTCTTTTTCAAGGCATCATTTGACATGGGTGGTCTCACTTGTTTGGCCCCCTCCCCGGAGGAAGCATCTTCCCTCCATGCCACCTGCACCCACCCCAATCGCCAGGAAGGAAATTCGCCCCATAAACGAAGAGGGAGCTGGCTTTACGATGCATCTCCTATTGACTTAATTGCACGAAGGGCTGAAACCTTTCCGAAGGCAGCGAGCTGATTTCTCCCAGGTAAATGATCTCCCTTCGTCTTTAAAATGCAATTGCTTCAGTGGTAGCATTCAAAAAAATTTTTTTTACTACCAGTTCTGTGGGCGTGGCTCGGTGTGCATGGCATGGCTTGGTGGGCGTGGCAGGGGAAGGTTACTGCAAAATCCCCTCCCCACCTCGCTAACCTGCTTTCCAGCTCCGTTCTCCTGTGCGGGGCCAACCAAAGAAGACCCAGCCAATCAGCAGTGGCCGTGGCTTGGTGCGTGTGGTTGTCTGTGGGTGTGGCTTGGTGGGCGTGGCTTGGGGTGTGGGACAGGGGAAAGGATATACTGCACAATCCCCCTTCCCTCCCCACCCCACTAACCTGCTTTCCAGCTCCGTTCTCCTGTGCAGGGCAACCAAAGAAGGCCCAGCCAATCAGCTGGGATTCAATGGGAGGCAGAGGATAGATGGGGGCGGGGCCAGTCAGAGGCGGTATTTGCCGGTTCTCCGAACTACTCCAAATTTCCGCTACCAGTTCTCCAGAACCGGTCAGAACCTGCTGAACAACACCTCTGAATTGCTTCCTTCGTTCCTCCAGCAGGAGGACGGCTGTCGAAATTGCTGTGTCTTTTTTTTAAATTTATTTTTTAATATAAACATTCCATCTTCCATTAAACAGTGTGTCGTCTGGTTACAAATATCTCCGTGCAACAACTATCAGCATTTACAACATATACATTATTTTGATATTGACTTTCTAGTCTTACAATCGTAATATTGTATATAAATAAAAACTTTCCATTTCTCCCTCTTAACATATCTTCTAACAAAAGTATAGTGATATTAAACATAGTAAGCTTAATAGTCATATCAATAACAATCATCATATTGTTTACATCTGTATCTTTACTTTCTATAATTCACTAATCTCTCTTCTTTTATTTCTAACTTCCATTTTTCTCCTCTAACCATCAATAGAATAATTCCCATATTATATTCCTATTCAGTTTGTTCTTTCTCTTTAATTGCTAACGTTAATCTATTCATTTCTGCACACTCTAACATTTTTTCCTAATCACAATAAGAAATTGCCGTGTCTTAAGCGGCTCACTCACCGAGATCCAAATTCTACCTCTCCGGTTTCGTTCAGAAGGCACACAGTCTCTTTCCGAGGATCGCAATTGTTGACCGCTGGGCTCCCTTCAAAATATTTGCCAGCAACCGGCTCAGATTCAAGCTCCGGTGGGTTCAGAATCTTGTAGGGTTGATCCAAAGGATCCAAAGGAATGATCTGATGGAAAGGGGGGGGGGGATGAAAATGGCCTTGCTCTTTGGCTGGTGGAAAGGAAACATGTAGGCGCTTGTCCACCAATCTAGAGACAAGATAAGTTGAGGGTAGCCATTGATTCTGGCCAAAGAAAAAGACTCCGTAATAATTAGGTGGTTTTTAAGGGGAAGCGGTATAAAGGTAAAGGTAAAGGTTGCCCTCGCATGTACATGCTAGTTGTTTCCAGCTCTAGGGGGGTGGTGACCATCTCCATTACAAAGCTGAAGAGCCAGCGCTGTCCTAAGACGTCTCCATGGTCATGTGGCCGGCATGACTAAACGCCAAAGGCGCATGGAACGCTGTTACCTTCCCACCAAAGGGGTCCCTATTTTTCTACTTGCATTTTTTTTTACATGCTTTTGAACTGCTAGGTTAGCAGAAGCTGGGACAAGGAACGGGAGCTCACTCCATGATGTGGCGCTAGGGATTCGAGCCGCCAAACTGCCGACCTTTCTGATCGACAAGCTCAGCGTCTTAGCCACTGAGCCACCGCATCCCTGAAGCAGTTGGTCCATCCCATATTTGGGTAGACCATGGTGCCCTGATAAAAAAAACAATCTCTCCCGTGGTATAGCCGACAAAATGAGGAGAGCCCATGGCTTAGAGGTCAATACAACTACGTAATATTTAAGCAGCCTGGGTTCGAATCCCAGAAGGGGTATGGCTAGCTGACGAGAGTTTAAATAGCTTGAAATAGATCTCGTGTCCCTTTATTTCTTTGTCAGTAAATATAAATTTAACACCCTGTAATAATGTCCTCCATAAGATTCATTTTCCTGGATGCCCAATTTGGGACACTTACAATGGAATGCAGCCTTGCAGACCTGAAGATAGTACTGTCTTGGTTGAGCCAAGATAGGGATTTGTAACTCAGTTCAACAACCAAAGCAGAAATGCCCATGATGGATGCCCGCTTTGGGTCAAAAATGGGATGGAATAGGGGAAGGGAGGAGAGGAACAGAAGAGAAGGCATAAGAGAGAAGAAGGGAGAAGAAGGGAGAACAGGGGAGATGGGAGAAGAAAGAAGAAGCAAGAAAAGAGAAGGGATAAGAGAGAAAAAGAGAAAAGGAAGAGGGGAGAAGAAGGAAGAAGAGAAAGGGGAGAGGGGAGAAGAAGGGAGAAGAGAAAAGGAAGAGGGGAGAAGAAGAGAGAAGGGAGAAGAAGGGAGAAGAGAGATGGGAGGAGAAGGGAGAAAAAGAGAAAAGGGAGAAGGAGGAGGGGAGGGAAGGGAAGGGAAGGGAAGGGAAGGGAAGAGAAGGGGAGGAACACTAGTAGAGTGATGACAAAAGAACTGGAGTTATTTCCTTTTGTCAGCCTGTAAATTCAGTGTGGCATGGATGGGATTGTAAACCCATGAATCCTTGCAGGGCACTTATCTTCACGCCACCAAAGAGAGCTAAGCTTCAAACCCAACCAAGTTCCACCTGTTTGTGAAGGACTCTAGAATTTCGGAGCTTCGTACACCACCACCCCCAAAATCAGCGAGAACCCCTAAAAAAAACAGGCCGCCAGGCCAATGAAGTCCCACCTCGCTCAGGGTCTCTGGACAGTCGCAGCTGGGCACGCTCGCCTCTTCGTCGGAAGCCCCCAGCAGCGTCTGACTCTCCTCCGTCCGCTCAAGAAGCTACACAAAAATGTGGAATGAGGTTTTTAAAAAGGCTGCATTGGTCAAAGGAAACTGGGTGATATGAAGCATGCACAAACAAGTAATGCCTTTTGGGGTGGGGGGAAAGGAAAATAGAGACACGCCTGCAAACAGAGTAACAGATACGAGGTTATTTAGAAATGGCGCCATCTCAAAATATAGGAATTGCACTTAGACTTGTATCCCGCTTCACAGTGCTTCACAGCCCCCTCTAAGCAGTTTACAGAGTCAGCCTCTTGCCCCCAACAATCTGGGTCCTCATTTTATCCACCTCGGAAGGACGGAAGGCTGAGTCAACCTATACATTGGCCAATCTTTAAGGTGCCAAACCTCTTTGTTTTCAGCGCTGACTCCAAAGGCCTAATCTAGAATCCTGCATCCAATTTTGGTCACCACACTGTCAAAAAGATATTGAGACTCTGGAAAGAGTGCAGAGAAGAGCAACCAGGATGATTAGGGGACTGGAGAATAAAACATACAATGAATGGTTGCATGAACTGGGCCTGGCTAATCTAGTGAAGAGAAGGACCAGGGGAGACATGATAGAGGTCTTCCAATATTTGAGGGGCTGCCCCAGGGAGGAGGAAGGGGGTCAAGCTGTTTTCCAAAGCACCCGAAGGCCAGACAAGGAATAATGGATGAAAACTGATCCAAGAGAGATTCAACCTTGAAATAAGGAGGACTTTATTGACAGTGAGAACAATCAACCCATGGAACAGAAGTTGCCTTCAGAAGTTGTGGGAGCTTCATCACTGGAAGCATTCAAGAAGAGACTGGACTGCCATCTGTCAGAAATGATGTAGGGTCTCCTGCTTGGGCAGAGGGGTTGGAATAGATGACCTACAAGGTCCCTTCCAACTCTGTAATCTGTAATATATAGATCTGCCGGAATTCCTTGGTATGTTATAGCATTTAGGGTTTAATGGAAACTTTACAAGGCACGGCTTAAGTGAAACCAATTCTCCAGAGAGCCATTTTCCCCGCTCGCTTAATGAAATTCCTATAAAATTAAGTGAGCAGTTCTCCCAAAGTTTGATTTTGAAAGAGGTTCTGCTGTGAGGCAAAGAAAAGAGGAGATGTCACTCGTCTTGGACCCCTTAGGCCTTTTTGGATTCCTACAGGATTCATTAATCAACCCATTCTTTTCCCCCAGGGAAGGATACGATTGGGTTCTCTTTCCAGAGGTTTAAACCTGTCTGCAGAATCCACCACCAGAACAGCAGGAGATTCACAGCTCAGCCTTTTCCCCCCCCAAAAATTTAAAATTCTTTATAAACTAAGAAAGATAGGAGGTTTCTCCAGGAAAGATAATTTTCTTCATTCTGGAAGGCATTTAATTTAAATATTTACTTCCACCGGGTCATGTTGAACTTCCGTAATCCCTCACGCACAGACAATGAATTGTTCGGGGTGTGTATGTGTCATGATCTCGTACCTCTTCAGGCACCCATTCTCTGCAAAATCGGATGGGTGCCTGAAGTCACGCAAGATCTTGCCCCCCCCCCCCCCCCCCGAAACCTTTCACTCTCAGTGCATGAAAAATGTTTAAAAGCCGATCGGATGCAGGAAGCAAAATTATCCTGCAGTGGAGAGAAGACAGATCTTTGCAAGGTAAGTGAGTCCAATGCGGCAGGATGGGGGAAGCAATTGTGGGGAGCAAGAGATATCTCAGTGGGTCAGGGGAGTCCTTGGGTGGCGTGTTCCATCACTAGCCCCCACTCATGGCCTCCCCCATTGAGATACCTCGTGCAATTAACGTCCTGCGCATTCGATTAGCAAATGCATAGGCGAAAACAGGGAGTGATCACATTCAAGTTACAGGATTCACTCCAACAAATCCTCAGGTTACGAATGTAATGGGCGGGCTCCATTACATTCGTAACTTGAGGATTACTTGTATTAATTTCAAAAGGGGTGGGGGAGAGAAAACGTTTGACAAAGGGATCAGGGCCAAGGCAGCTCCCGTGGCAGACTGTGAATGTAATCTCAATTCTCGGAGGCTTCCGCTTCGGTTGCTGATAAGAGGGAGAAAATGTCAGCTCTGCCTCAAAATTTCTTGACTGTGTCAAGGATTCCGCCCATTTAGATCAATGACATTTCCTACATCCAGCCCATGCTCTTAATGGATGGCTCGCATCAAAGATGCTTGGCTGATTTCACACTCGCGTTGGCAAGGCTGCTAAAAAGGACATGAGGAGGAAATGATTTGATCTTCCTTCTGGATGACTCGGTCTTCCACCTTTTCAGGCAAGCAAAATGAGCGAAGGGACCTCCAAGGTGTCCTCGTTTTGATGAGGTTCAAAGCGGCATTTTAGAAGAAAGGGACAGGGCCTGCATGCTCGGTGGCTCCTTTCCACAATGAGCAGGTGTAACAGATTTGGAAGGGATCTTGGAGGTCTTCTAGTCCAACCCCCTGCCCAAGCAGGAGAGCCTATCCCATTCCAGACAAAGGGTTGTCCAATCTCTTCTTAAAATCTTCCAGTGATGGAGCAGCCACAATTTCTGGTGGCAAGTTGTTCCACTGGTTAATTGTTCTCACCGTCAGGAAATTTTTTCTTAGTTCTAGGTCGGTTCTTTCCTTGACTAGTTTCCATCCGTTGCTTCTTGTCCTGCCTTCATGTGCTTTGGACTTCACTTTGGCCGAACGTTGGAAAAAATACACATTTCCTCATTAGGCCGAGTCTCAGCTTCTGCTTGATGGCAGTCAAACCGTCAAATATCCTCCCCCTGAATCCCTCCACCCCTGGCTCAAGGTGAAGAGAAGGGTTGACAAGGATCGATCGGTCTTGTTCAATGACACACATACACCCCGCCTCCCCCGTGGCCAAAAACCTTGCAAAAGTGCTTTTCCCTGATGAAGTGCTGAGGCACCACATTTTGCAGCCAAATGGAAGACCCCCAAAGGATAGACTCAGCACAAAGAGCTGCCGGTTTGTAAGCAGGTGTTCGGAGGACGAGAGAAAAAGCAAATCTTTTCATTCTTAGGAGAGCAAAACTGCTCCAGGTGTTGGAGGTCCCCAAGGAGATGGAAGTTTAGAAGGACTTCAAGCAAGGGGTTAAAAGGATTGCTACCTTACACTCTTTCTTAGAAGGCTGGGGCGGGGGAGAGGAGAGTGTGGGATCAGCAGGTTTCAAAAGAGCTGAGAAAACAGCTTAGTTTGGCCACCGTTGATAGAAAAACACATTCCTAACGAAGGATATAAAGACATTTTTGGATGAGGGCCAACCCAACATAAGGACAAACCCCATTATCAAGGCCCTATCCCAATTCAGCATTCGAGTTTAATCCAGATGGTAAGACTCAAGTCCAAGGAAGATGCCAGACAATACACTGATTTTTCTTTTCTGCAGAATTAATAAGTATGATCTATAGAGTGAGGTCCTGCAAAATCTCAAAGCCTCTGTGTCCCTCAGTGCCTGGTAGCTTCAAGAAGGAGTTGGTTTGGATGGATGGACCAACTGTTAACACTTTTGGGGAACTTTCACCCAGGGGCATCCAACCATGGTGACATTAAGGCTTCTGGACTTCAACTCCCAGAATTCCCCAGCCAGATGGGAATGCAGGCCGACAGGCCTTAAAGGTTGCCAGGTTGGATAGCCAAAAAGATCTGAGCAGGATGGATTGCATCAACTTCAGAACACCCTGTCCAAGGTCCTGAAGTATACACCTTCCTATGCGTTCATCTCTCTTGAGGATCATCAGTCTTCGAGCCTCTCCATGGACTAAACCTAGGCCAAAGGACCACAACGTTGGCTCCTATATTGCCTCCAGCAGCTACAGCTCACCAGATGGAGCCAAGACGCTTCTTGGGATGAGAATACAAGTCCTTTTAGGAACCACGCCAAGTGGAAATCCAAGATTTCTTCGCCTATCTCAGAGCTCGAGTGATGAGCCAACGTTTCTATCCCAACCGAGAGAATGACTTATGGATGACAGAAGAGACAGCCCTGCTTTAAAAGCATCCTTTGGTTTGAACTTTTGAAACCACAGGACTTCAAGGGCTGCGAAATGCTGTTTTTTCACTTGATAGCTAGAAGAATACAGAATAACAGAGTTGGAAGGGGCATTGGAGGTCATCTGGTCCAACCCCCTGCTCAGCAGGAGACCCTATAACATTTCAGACAAGTGGCTGTCCAGTATCTTCTTAAAAACCTCCAGTGTTGGAGCACCCACAATTTCTGGTGGAAAGCCATTCCACTAGTTAATTGTTCTCCACTGTCAGGAAATTTCTTGCTTCTGTCCTTGAGTAGTTTCCATGAATGGTTCCTCGTCTGGCCTTCAGAGAGGCTTTGGAAAATAGGTTGTCCCCCTCCTCTAAATATAGCTAGCAGACCCCACAGACAGGATTTCCTGCAGCGCTGCCTGGATCCCAGGAAACTTTCTGCAATTTTAAAACATCTCCCCAGGAAAAGAGACAAATCATGGGTGAGGGCACCCCTCCCAGAAGGCGATACCTCCTTCTGTTTTCCCCATCAACCGGCAGCCTCCTTAATGCCCACATGCCAAGAGATGGAAAAGGTTGCACCCGGTGCCAGCATGACTTCACCAGGCGACTTCGCCCACGATCCAGCTGTTTTATGCCCCGAATCTGCTGGAAACAGTCCCCCCCACCCACCCAAAAAAAAAGAACAGGTTCTGCAAGTATCCCATTTTCCAGCTCTTTGAGTCAGAAGTTCGATTTAAGCACTAAAGATTTAAAAAATGTTATTCTGGTGCTTGGCTTTTGCTCCAGAAAAAATAAAACACACGATCCAAGTTTTGTTCTTTTTTAAAAATAAAAAATAACAAGCAATACACTTCCAATGGATTTAACTGGGCACCACGAATTATTGAGAATTGGTGCATTTTTTAAACACTTGTGAATACGTGAGCTTCATCCCTGGAGGCTTTCAAGAAGAGACTGGACTGCCATCTGTCAGAAATGAGGTAGGTCTCCTGCTTGGGTGGAGGCGGGCGGGTTGGACTAGATGACCTACAAGGTCCCTTCCAACTCTGTTAGACTGTTAATCAAGGAGAGAAGCAGCCTGGAATTAAGGAGAAAATTCCTAACAGTGAGAACAATTAATCAGTGGAGCAACTTGCCTCCAGAAATTGTGGGTTCTCCATCGCTGGAGGTTTTTATGAGAAGATTGGATAACCATTTGTCTGGAATGATATAGGATCTTCTGCTGGAGCAGGGGGTTGGTCTAGAAGACCTCTAAGGTCCCTTCCAGGTGTTATTCTGTTATTCTTGACTGGTAGCTGCTGGACTTTCTTCTGAAGCCTTCAGCAAACACCTTGCAAATCCAAAGAAGTTGTGTGCATTGGATTAACCCCTATCATGGTCTTTTACTGGCACCCCCTAAAAGCTATCAAAAGGACAACTTTGAGAGTAGCCATGATTCCTCATGATCAAGGCTTAACCTTGGAACACTTATGCTTAACTTTACAGTCAATCTCCATTAAACCCCTCAAAAAAAAAGGAAGATTTTTTTCCGCTTCTTGATTATCCGCAATTCCTTTTTCTAAAAGACGACCTACAGTGGGAATGTTCTGAAGTTGAATTTTAGAAAACTGCTCCCCATTTCTCTTACTTGTCCCCATTGACTTCTGAAGAGGTCTCAGATCCCGCAATCTCGATCTCTTTGTCAGTTGTCTAAGCTGTCTGTAAAACCTTAAAATGATTTCGGTGTTAAGTTTTAGGAGGATCAAGAAACCCAAGTCTCACCTCGCTTGTGTCTAAGGATTTCTGCTTCTCGTTTCCCAAAGGATCTGACGCGGAGAAGTCAAACGGCTTCTTTTTCAGTTCTTGGATGACCCAGTGCATTTCCTTCACCACTCCGAGGAGTTCGACAAACTGAAAACATGAAGAGGAACTCTTGAAGACTCTTGAAGAACTCTCACATCCTTCCAAAAAGTTCCTATGTTTACGTTTGAACAGATAGATGGTCCATGGCCTGACTCTTGGGTTTCCCGCAACCCAGGAAATTCACGTTGTAAAGGGCTATCTGAGGTACCTACCCTCAAATAGTGGGTTAACTAAGTCTGCATTTCTATTACAATTATTATTAATCCTCCCATCTTTCCTTTCACCCATCTCCTCCCACTTGTGACTGTATGACTGTAATTTTGATGCTTGTATCCTAATGATTTTTATGGACTGTTTCCTAGTATGTCTTGATTGCTTATTGTACCCTATGACTATTATTAAGTGTTGTACCTGATGATTCTTGACTCTTGACAAATGTATCTTTTCTTTTATATACACTGTGAACATTTGCATCAAACACAAATTCCTTATGTGCCCAATCACATTGGCCAATAAAGAATTTCTATTCTATTCTATTCTATTCTATTCTATTCTATTCTATTCTATTCTATTCTATTCTATTCTATTCTATTCTACTCTACTCTACTCTACTCTACTCTACTCTACTCTATTCTAACAAACTAGTTATCAATTAGGTAGGGTACTCCTTTGGTGCAGAGCGGATTCTAAAAAGATGGCACACTTATTCCTATCCAAAGCAAAGATGAGTATACTCCGTGTTTGGTCTCTTCTAATCTAGAATCTGATACTCCTTGTGATCCCTCTTAATTCTTGTAGAATTGATGGTTGGTTCCTGACAGTCATTCAAGATTTGCCACTTCAGATATCTCCCACATCCAGATTCTTTGCAATTTCCCCGCAAACCTATGCAGGCATGCATAAAGCAGCACCCACTGGAATGGGACAACTTACCACGGACAACTCGCCCTGGCCAACTCTCCACAACCAACTCACCACAGCCAATTCTCCACGGCCAAGTCATCATGGCCAACTCTCCATGGCCAACTTTCCATGGGACAACTTGCCACAGGACAATTTAACCGTTCAATTTAATTATTCAAAATGAAATTTTAAAAAATCATTTTATTTTTTGTCATTCATACTTCATTCTATCCCTCGTTTTGCATCCTTCCTTTAATGATTTCATTCCACTATTTCTTAGATAGTAGTGTAATTCTTGTCCTGTGATGAATTGTCTCACAGCAAGTTAGCCATAGTGAGTTGGATGTGGTGAACTGTCATAGACCCACATTCACAGTGAGGTCTCAGAAATGGCTACTCCAAAGTAAGACAGAGTGATGTTAATGAGCTTTCTGGGAGACATGTTTAGAAAGGAGGGAGGTCAAATCAGAAATGAGGAGGTGATAAGCCGCCTGGGAAAGCCAAGGGAAATCATCCAAGCCATAAAAAGTTGGAATATTTTGGACATTTTGTGATGCAACACCCAGAAAATTATGGCATATTTCACTTAATCCTCCAAGGAAAGATTGAAGGCAAATGAGGTCCAGGCAGAAGAAGAACATCATGGCTTCAAAATCTAATGGACTGGTTTGGACAAAACTCAGTAGCCCTTTTCCATACGGCTGTTGATAAAAATAGGATCGTCAACATGATCGCCAACGTCCAATGATGGTTATGGCACAAGAAGAAGAAACCAAATACCTTCTTTTTAAGTTCCTCCAAAGAGAGCTGGTCTACTGGACAGTCCCACCGATGATCCTGGTCCCGTAAGCAAATGCTCATGTACGATGTCTGATTGCTCCAAGATAAAGGGGTGTCTTCTAGGGGGAAAAAAATAAGGGGAAAAACTCCCCAGAATTTGTTTTGGAATCCATACACTTTCAGGCGGAATATACTACAAATAGTCCTTGGTTTATAAATATTCAATTAGTGACCTTATAATGGCCCTGAAAAAAGTGACTTATGACCAGCTTTCACATTTACCACTGCTGCAGCGGCCCTGTAGTCATGTGATCAAAATTCAGAGGCTTGGGAAACTGGCATGTATTTATGACAGTTGTACTGTCCCAGGTCATGTGATCAAGGACTACTTCTGCCTATCTATGTCTTTCTCTCCATCTGTCTATCTATTTTTATCTGTTTGTCTGTTTCTGTCTGTCTGTCTATCTTTATCTGTATTTATCTATCTATCTGTCTGCCTATCTCTATCCATCCATCAATCTATCTATGCCTGTCTGTCTATCCATCTATTTGACTATATTTATCTTGTCTATTTATATCTATCTATCTATCTATCTATCTATCTATCTATCTATCTATCTATCTATCTATCTATCTATATTTGTATTTATCTATCTCTGTCTGCCTATCTCTATCTATCCATCCAACCATCTATATCTGTCTATCTGTCTTTCTGCCTGTATGTCTATCTTGTCTACTTCTATCTATCTATCTATCTATCTATCTATCTATCTATCTATCTATCTATCTATCTATCTATCTATCATCTATCTATCTATCATCTATCTATCTATCATCTATCTCTGTCTGCCTGTATATATCTAATTATCTCTTGTCTATCTCAATATATTTGTCTGTCTATCTGTACCTATCTATTTGCCTATCTATCATCTATCTCTGTCTGCCTGTATTTATCTAATTATCTCTGTCTGTCTCAATATGTCTGTGTCTGTCTGTCTGTCTGTCTGTCTGTCTGTCTGTATCTATCTATCTATCTATCTATCTATCTATCTATCTATCTATCTAT